AGATCAGCTCATGGCCAGCCTGCTTGATCTCCTCTCCCCCTACCCTCCTCCTCCTTCTTCTTCCCCTTCGGTGCAGCTGACTCTGCCTCCTCCCAAGGCTGCTGCTTTTTTTCTCTTTCTCTCTCCCTCTCCTGCCCAAACTGCCTCCTTTTATAGGCTCTCCTGTCTCCGCCCCCCTCCTTTCTCATGGGGGAGGGTGAGCCAGAAGTGAGCCTGGGGCCTTTGCAGCTCCAGAGGACTCTCTCACTGTAAGTCCTTGCCTGTGCTGGCTCTTTCCCTCCCCCACTACACTTGGCTAGGCAGGGCTGCGTACCACCTGCCACTCATTAATGTACCACAAGTGGTACGCGTACCACCGGTTGAAAAGCCCTGCTTTAACTGACTATGTTGGTTGTATTTCATATCATTTGCCTAAGGATCCTCGGCTTGCTTGTTTAATGACTTCTTCCTTTCCTGTCCGCCCACTTTCTCCTTCTCCATTGTCGCAAGCTCCTACTGTTTTTTCTGATGGAGGGCGAATGAGAGGAGCAATTGCTTATAAGGATTCTCATGATACCTGGAAAGTGTCCTACACTGCAGTGCAATCTTCACCGCAACGCTCAGAATTATCTGCTGCTATTTTAGCCTTTCACACCTTTTCTCAACAGCCTTTTAATTTAATCTCTGACTCTCAGTATGTGTGTCAACTTATTTTTAATCTTCCAGGTGCTTACATCACACCCAGGATTGACCCCAATCTCATGGCTTTGTTTTTAACTTTGCAGCAGCTGCTACAAGATCGAAAGCACTTATACTTTGTTTCTCATATACGCAGTCACTCCTCCCTTCCTGAGCCTCTTTCTGAAGGCAATAGTCATGCTGACACTGCAGTTCACGTCTTACCCACTTTGTTTTCAGACCCTTTTTTCAGTCACTCTTTTTTCATCAAAATGCTAGGGGGCTGGCACAAGCTTGTCATATTCCACTCGACCAAGCCAAGCAGATTGTTTCATCCTGTCCCCAATGTTCTGGGGCATCTCCTTTGGGGGACACGGGAGTTAATCCCCGTGGTTTCACCTCCAATCAACTATGGCAAATGGATGTTACCCATGTTCCCTCTTTGGCTCCTTGGAAGTATATTCATTTATCTATTGATACCTATTCAGGAGCAATTTGGGCCACACCTCAACGAGGGGAAACAGCTAATCATGTTATTTCTCATCTTTTTTTGGCCATTACAGCCTTGGGCCTCTTCTTTAAAAACTGATAACGGGCCAGCCTATTCTTCAATGGCCTTTTTGCAATTTTGTACAACCTGGAATATTGTTCTTACTCATCGTCTCCCCTATAATTTCACGGGTCAAGCCATCATGGAATGTGCTAATCGGTCCTTTAAGGACTGCCTCCACAAACAAATAAAAAAGGAGGGCTCTAGGGTACCCAATTTGTCGTGGGTAACACAACAGGTTAAAAAAGTATTATTTACATTAAACCAATTGAATGTTTCCATTCAAAATTCCACCGCTTATCAGAGACACTTTCAACAGAAAACAAGCTTGCCTCCGCCTCTGGTATATTATCAGGCATTACCAGACAAAACATGGTTGGGACTGGTCCCTCTGATCACTTGGGGGCGAGGCTATGCTGCTGTGCTTGCTCCTACAGGACCTTTGTGGATTCCAGCGCGTTGCGTCCGCGCAGCCAAGGATGTCGTGCCACCAGTCCCTGGATCCAGTCGCAGAAATGGCAAGGGTGACTCTACAGATGGCACAGCGACCAGTCGGCCAGTGACGTGGGGAGATGTGAAGAACCTGACCGCCAAAGCACAGGCAGTGCTGCAGCAGCAGCAAGTAGAACAAACCCCCGAGAACTTATGCGCTGCCATTTTTGCGGTTTTAACTGCAAATTCCTTAGCCATCATTTGCTTTTGTTTGATTATTAACAGTTGCCCTTTGGCAACAGCAGCTGTCATCCCACCCAAACTTTTACTAACCCCTCTTACGACGATGTTTCGTCTAACAAAACAAAAAAGAGTGAGATGTAGGGATAGAGGTCATGTAAAGTTCGTGTGCAGCATACTGCCTCAGCTCAAATACATGATCTCACCCCGTTCATATTGCCATGGTGATGTAGGAAACTACCCCAGGCTGGTACATGATTTCACCTGGTTCACATGATTTCATCTCATTCACACCAACAGGATGTAGCAGAAAACTGCCCCTGGTTGGTGCCCCTGGCTGATATATTCTTAAGGATTGACAAGGAGAATCTACCAATAAAAATGCCGTTGCTATGCTGTTGCTATGTTATCTTTTGCTGCTTGGAAAACTGTATAAAGCAATAAACGCTGCGAAAGGCAGTGAGAGATATATTGGCATCCTGCTATGACTGGTCTCTGATTCCGACACCTGGTGAAAAAGGTAATAAAATCAGGCACCCCCTCACTTTACAAATGCCATACTTAGCAACATAATTTATGGTCCCAATTGTCATAAATCAAGGACTACCTGTAGTGGGTCATCAGAATAATTAAGCCCTGAATGAGTAATAATTCTTGGTCAAGTCAAAAGGAGATTTGTACTGTAGTTTTCTTGGCAAGTGTACAAAATTAGTTTCCCATTGCCTTCTGGGATATTTTTGCCACTTCAGAGTCCAACCTACAATCCTGGGATGATCCCACAGTAGTGATTTTTCAAGGAAGGTATGGTACTAATCAATTATACTTGATTGGCGCCAAGAGCAGTTAAGGTTGGCTATATACTGCCATGTAGCTGGGGCACCGAATGAACACAAACGAAAGAAACACCTCAGAACTGCAACTTTCTGCAAAAGAAAGCAGGGCATTGCATGTGGTTGTTTCCAAAAGTTCATTCCCTGTTCGAGCTGAGCAATATGCAACCGCAAAAAGTATGTATATAAAGTACAGTAGTTCCGAAATGCTTACACTAATAGTGGAAGGCTCATTATTGCTGTTGAAGACATGTAGAAATTGCAAGAAAGCAGCAGAAAAAGCCTTGAAAATAAAGCTATTTAAATATATTTGAACTAGTGGACGCTCATGGACGTCCGCATAACTTAAGTACCCGCCATAACATTGTTTTGTTTAATTGGGGAAGCTGATTTGCAGAAAAGCGAAACCTGTACACGGATTTCTGTGGAAACTATTTCCGCTGCGTCTGCCAGATCCAAATGTTTATCTGGTTGAAACAGAAACATTTTCTGGTAACTGCGGCGTGAGCACATTGAATGTAAAGAGACAAAGCAAGAGGTTTCCCCGCAAGCCCTTATTTCAGTTATGCACGTGGACGCCTTTGTTATGCGGGGGCAAACGCCCAGTGCGAAAGGGGGCTCAGAGAAGTATCTTTACTCCTCTTCCAGAATTCATAGGACATTTACTGAGACGAGATTTTAAACAACTACACTGAAATGAAACTTCGATATTTTTTTTTCTCCACATTGCTTGCCCTGCATATTGCCATATTCAATTGGGAAGCTGACATCTTGGAAAAGTGCTATGACGCCTGTAACTCTTGGGAGTCCCAGAATTCTAACTTGAGAGCCGGAAATTCCTGCCACAGATCCGTCAGCCGGAACCGAAAACAAAGCCGAATCGGAAAGCCCCTAGAGCTCCTTTGACTCGTCAAGGAGGACCGAGCCCTGCACTGGAAAGGCCGAGAGCTTCTGTAAGCGTCGCTTGTCTCCACCGAAAGCAGCCAAGTCCTTTCGGAGAGTTGGCAAGTAGGCGGAGCTTGTATGGCGGAAGTTGTCGACGTTCTTCCGGGAAGGGCCGAAGGAGGCTGTGCGTTGCATTCAGACTTACACACGGAGTAAGCAATAGGAGAAGCGGCGGCGCCGCTCTGAGGTGGAACTCCCCCGGTTGCTTGGTCCTTTCCCTTGCTCGGCCTCCTCGCCGTCATCGTCCCGTCTCTCTCGGCCGGCCAAGCGAGGCCAGGCCGCGGGAGTCGCTGCCCCCCCCTTCGCTCCCTCTCTTTTCTCAAGAGCCGGGCAGTATTGTGTTGGGCCTGGCTGCGGTAACCACTGGGAGAGGTCGAGGTCGGGGCCGGAAGGGCCAAAGAACAGTTAGCCAAGCCACCAGGAGCCAGCCAATATGATCAAGCTATTCTCGCTGAAACAGCAGAAGAAGGAGGAGGAATCGGCTGGCGGCACCAAAGGCTCCAGCAAGAAAGCGTCTGCCGCGCAGCTCCGCATCCAGAAAGGTTAGAGGGAAGGTCGAGAGACAGATGGGTAGCTGCATTTATTTCTAGGAAGAAAGAAAAGCCAGGCCGGTGAGGGCAGTGGTGCTCCTGTTTTTTCTTCCGTGCCGCAAGGATCAGCTAGTATTATTGTAGGTACCTCCTGTCGACGACAGCATTAAGACTTTGCCCACCGAGGGCTTGCTGTCTCAGTTGCCCCCGTTGATGAACATCACGGGTTTTTTTTTTCATTTTTGTATGGTGGTGCCTTAGTGCTTCGATTTTTCTCAATATATTTAGTGATGATCATAGCAGCCAAGCTTTGGTAAGTGTGACTGGAAAAGCCCTTCCTGCTAGTGGCTGCTTGATGAGTTCATGGCAAATCATTGAACTAGGCAGGTCCTAATTTCTTTTACTTCCAGAACTCTTGGATATTAGGAGTCTGGCTTTTCAAACTCGCAAAGCTATGGTAGTCTGATTTTCTTCATAGGATGAAGTTATAAACACTATAATAGGCTAGTAACTTGCGGATACATGAAAACCTCAAACTGTATATTGCTAAGTTTTGGCTATTGTACAACTCCATTTTTTATGCTTTATTATAAACAATTGTAGTTAGACTAGGCCAGGGGTGTCAAACTCGCAACGTCACGTGATGTATTGCGACTTTTTTGCCATTGCTGGCAATGGGGTGGGCACGGTTTTGCTATGATGCATCTGGCCCGTGGGCCGGCAGTTTGACACCCCTGGACTAGGCTATGAAGTGTTTTCTATTAATCTTGGACACATGGAATCTTTTGTAATTTCAAATATCCTGTTTAAAATAACTCCTCATTCAGAATAATCCATGCCTATAACTTACATTTTCATTATATTACAGTAACTTGATTGTCCCTTAATATTTGTCAGTTCTTGTGCACCTGCACATATTTTGTTTCATTTTTGTAGGATATACAGTGAACCAAAATTTCCAACAAGCTATCCTGGAGCCATTTTAGGAAGATTAGAACGTCATGAGATTGGATCAAATTTGCCAGTTTATTTTCCTGTCTTGTAGTCAAGAAACTGTTGACTTAGGTTTTTTTCCCCTTTTCATACCCACTCAGGTATGAACTAAATCATATTCCTGATGAATATACAGTAGAGGTGACAAATAGATTTAAGGAATTAGATCTGATAGACAGAGTGCCTGAAGAACTATGGACGGAGGTTCGCAACATTGTACAAGAGGTAGCAACTAAAACCATCCCAAAGAAAAAGAAATGCAAGAAAGCAAAATGGCTGTCTGAGGAAGCTTNCGTTTCATGCAAAGATGGGCATGATAAAGGACCAAAATGGCAGGGACCTAACAGAGGCAGAAGAGATTAAGAAGAGGTGGCAAAATTACACAGAAGAACTATACAAGAACGAGCTTAGCGTCCCTGATAACCACGATGGGGTGGTCACTGACCTCGAGCCAGACATCCTAGAATGTGAAGTGAAATGGGCCTTAGGAAAGCTGAGCAACAACAAAGCTAGTGGAGGTGACAGTATTCTAGCTGAGCTATTCAAAATCTTAAAAGACGATGCAGTAAAAGTGCTACACTCAATTTGCCAGCAAATTTGGAAAACTCAACAGTGGCCACAGAATTGGAAAAGGTCAGTTTACATTCCAATTCCAAAGAAAGGCAATGCCAAAGAATGTTCAAGCTATCGCACCATTGCACTCATTTCACATGCTAGTAAAGTTATGCTTAAAATCCTACAAGCTAGACTCCAGCAGTATGTGGATCGAGAACTACCAGAAGTACAGGCAGGATTTCGAAGAGGCAGAGGAACTAGAGATCAAATTGCCAACATACGCTGGAACATGGAGAAAGCTAGGGAGTTCCAGAAAAACATCTACTTCTGCTTCATTGACTATGCTAAAGCCTTTGATTGTGTGGATCACAACAAATTGTGGCAAGTTCTTAAAGAGATGGGAGTACCAGGCCATCTTATTTGTCTCTTGAGAAACCTATATGCGGGTCAAGAAGCAACAGTGAGAACTGGACACGGAACCACTGATTGGTTCAAAATTGGGAAAGGAGTCCAGCAAGGCTGTATACTGTCGCCCTGCCTATTTAACTTATATGCAGAGCACATCATGAGAAAGGCAGGGCTAGATGAATCAAAAGTTGGAATTAAGATTGCCGGGAGAAATATCAACAACCTAAGATATGCAGACGATACCACTCTAATGGCAGAAAGTGAAGAGGAACTAAAGAGCCTCTTGATGCGGGTGAAGAAGGAGAGTGCAAAAGTTGGCTTGAAACTCAACATTAAGAAAACCAAGATCATGGCATCTGGCCCTCTCAATTCCTGGCAAATAGATGGCGAAGAAATGGAGGTAGTGAGAGATTTTATTTTCCTGGGCTCCAAGATCACCGCAGATGGGGACTGCAGCCAAGAAATTAAAAGACGCTTGCTCCTGGGGAGGAAAGCTATGGCAAATCTAGACAGCATACTAAAAAGCAGAGACATCACCCTGCCAACAAAAGTACGTATAGTCAAGGCCATGGTTTTCCCAGTTGCAATGTATGGATGTGAAAATTGGACCATAAAAAAGGCTGAGCGACAAAGAATTGAGGCCTTTGAACTATGGTGCTGGAGAAGACTCCTGCGAGTCCCTTGGACTGCAAGGCATTCAAACCGGTCAGTCCTAGAAGAGATCAACCCCGACTGCTCTTTAGAAGGCCAGATCCTGAAGTTGAAACTCAAATACTTTGGCCACCTAATGAGAAAGAAGGACTCATTGGAGAAGGGCCTAATGCTGGGAAAGATTGAGGGCAACAGAAGAAGGGGACGACAGAGAATGAGGTGGCTGGATGGAGTCACTGAAGCAGTAGGCGTGAGCTTAAATGGACTCCAGAAGATGGTAGAGGACAGGAAGGCCTGGAGGAACGTTGTCCATGGGGTCACAATGGGTCGGACACGACTTCGCAATTAACAAAACTTTTCAAAGAAATGTATCAGTGTTGAGCTAATGATCAAAATAAAGAGCAATTATATATTTTGGTTTAGAAATAGAGGCTTGTAACCAGCTACCTTCTCTAAACTGACAATTTCTTCTTTTCCTGCCAGATATAAACGAACTTAATTTGCCAAAAACATGTGAAATAGACTTTTCAGACCAGGACAATCTTCTCAACTTCAAGCTAGTTATCTGCCCTGATGAGGTGAGTGATGTGGGCATAGGAAGGAACTGTTTAACTGTTTAACATGGTATTGCATACTCTGAGCCCCATAATCAGTGCGTTAGTAGGCTGTGCCCAGTGCTGGCTGAGTTTCTCCCACCTCCACTTTTGTGTTTTTCTCTGTATAAGGGATGAGTGATAGAACTTGGTTTGGGGAATAATACTTATTGAAAATAGCTTTAATCATGGTTCTTGTAGTTGAAATTGTAGAGAGTACAGGTAGTCCTCAAGTTACGACCACAATTGAGCCCAAAATTTATTTTGCTAAGTGAAACATTTGTTAAGTGAATGTGCCCCATTTTACGACTTTTCTTGCAACAGTTATTAAAGTGAATCATTGCATTTGTTAAGTTAGTAACATGGTTGTTAAGTGAATCTGGATTCCCCATTGACTTTGATTGTCAGAAGATCGCAAGAGGGGGTCATGTGACCCCAGGACACTGCAACCGTCATAAATACGAACCACTTGCCAAGCATCTGAATTTTGGTCATGTGACCAGGGGGATGTTGCAACGGTCATAAGTGTAAAAACTGGTCATAAGTCACTTTTTTCAGTGCCATAACTTTGGTCACTAAATGAACTGTTATAAATCGAGGTCTACCTGTAGTACATTGAAGGGATCAGTGTCCTGGGATATTCCCTCGATGTTGTTCATTGCATCCTGCCATATTTATTTACTTCTTATATGTATCCTTCTTAGCTTGTCACTGCACCATAAATACTAAACCTGTCTGCTCAGCTTTTCTTATATTTTGTTTTTAGGATAATTATAGTAAAAGATTTCCCCAAATCATCTATTTGCTGTGTTTGAATTTTGAATTTACTTGCTTAGAAGTCAGTGTGGCTTTTTTTTATCTAAATGGGTATGGCTACACCACATGAATGTGTCACCTGTTCAGAAGCATGGTCTTAAGTAGCATGTTATCCATAGCTGGTTACTTTGGAGAAATTTCATGAGTGGGGTGATTCACCAGGCCAATGTCTCCTGTGATATTAACATATCAGTATACAGTATGTCTGATATTTTTACTTTTGTGCTTTAAGTCCATCATTATTGCTTAAAATTCACATTTTGAATGCAATGTGGTCCATTTTTTACATAAGTTAGCTCTGAAGGTAGGCAAAAATGTCTTTGCAAACTAACTTATTCTAAAATGGGGAGATGGTTGGCATTAGAAGAGGGTAAGGAGAACTTCAAGGTATTCTATTTTTAATCAATTTGTGAATTGGTATCTTAATTCTACCTTGTCATGGTTCAAAGGTGTGAGATGTTAGGGGAAAAAGAAGAGTGTCAATCAGCATAGGTCTCTTTGGACCATTAAATAGAGATGCAAAACCTAATTTACCAGGTTATATGTATCTTCTGAAAGTCTTAGCTGTAGACCTTGAGATCTCCAAAAATGGTTACCATGTTGTAATTTTAAATGTGGCAGAAATGGACACCATTAAATACAACACTGGAAAGTGATTATTATCAACTAAATTTAATTCATATGTAATTTAAATTTAGTAGTTTTTCTGGCTGCATTCACTATGTTTGGGGGAGCAGCTTTCATCTTACCACTTGAGAGTTAAGTGAGTTTTTGATCCATTAAAATTATAAAGCACTGAATCTGACATCTAATTTAGTTCCTATATTATCTAGGAACTTATAGTAGGTTAATCAAGCTCAGCAGACTGTTTGCAGTTTCCGCTTGGTGACATGAATCATAAACCTGTTGGCATATGTTCATTATAAAGTGGCTTTTGCTATTTTGTTTATTCAAGGCAAGAGCCAAAAAGGTCTGCAAATTGTGATTCATGTTATTTGAATATTATAGGAGGAAAGTTGCCTTGCAGTGGCTTGTGTACATTCAGATTGACCTGATGAGTCACCAGTTCATTGTTTTCCTTTTAGTGATCATGCTGCATGTGTAAAATTTAGAAACTTGAAATATTTATCACGTTTGTAAAGCTGCCTGACTCAATGATGACTCTGGGAAGAGTACAGTATTAAAAACAAATTAACAATAGAACAAAACTAGTAAATATCCTGAGAAAATAAAACCAGCACCTTCTCAATCATAACGCATACCCATAAGGGACCTGCCACTCAACCTAACCCAAGGCCTTGGGGCAGAGTCTAGCTTTAGGGCTAGCAATAGCAATAGGAATAGCACTTAGACTTATATACCACTCCATAGTGCTTTACAGCACCCTCTCAGTGGTTTACAGTGTCAGCATATTGCCCCCAACAATCTGGGCCCTCATTTTACTGACCTTGGAAGGATGGAAGGCTGAGTCAACCTCAAGCCCCGTCAGGATCAAACGCCAGACTGTGGGCAGAGTTAGCCTGCAATACTGCATTCTAACCATTGTGTGGGTCTAGGACAACTCAGCACAGCCAGCTCACCGCCGCCAAGTCACCACAGGACAACTCACAGTGGGCAGCTGGACAGAAAGTGTGTCAGGCAGAGAGCGGGTGGGCAGAGCGCAGAATGGTGGCAGCTTCTGGGAGCTTTCCATTTTCACACCCACTGCCGCCAAGCTGTGGGCTGAAGAGGCCAGGGACGGCGGTGGTGGCAGTGGGCAGGGAGGTGGCAATGGCTGGGGACATCCCATTTTCACACACTGCCACCACTGCTATCCCCGGCCTTTTCGGCCCAGAGCTTACTGCGGCAGCAAGGTTGTGTGAAATTGGAGCTACCCGCCCTGCCTGCCGCCATCATGCCTAGCCTCTTGGGCTTGGGGCATGGCAGCAGTGGTGGTGGGGGTGTGAAAATGGGAAGCCCCCACCGCCCACCCCGTCCATCGCCGCTGCCACCTGCTCTGCCACCACTGCCGTCCCCGCCCTCTTCAGCCTGGAGCTTGGTGGCAGTGAGGGGTGTGAAAATGGGAAGCCCCTGTCCGCTGCCACCGCCCGGCACTCTGCCCACCCACTCGCCTACCCAGCTCTCCCTCCGGCCGTCTGCGGCATGTTGTCCCTGGAGCGAGTTGGCTGTATTGAGTTCTATGGCGACTTGGCAGCAGTGAGTCGGCAGAGGCAACTCGGCAATGGCGAGCTGCCTGCACCAAATTGTCCCATTCCGCCACTGTGCCCCAGGCATCTTCCATTGCGCAACCAGGGCTCTGGGCTCATTTGAATGAGGCCAGGATAAGAGGAATATGAATCTCTGGGATGATGCTGTGCCAGAGGGTAGGTGCTACAACACAGAAGGTGGCCTTCCGGGTTCCCATCAGATGACATTGTTTAATCAATGGGACCTAAAGCATGCCAACTTTTTCAGCTCAAACAGAACTGAAGATACTACAGGGTTATTCCTCAGATAGGTAGGCCCTATATACCTGAATAACATCTGGAAGCCCACTGGTGTCCAGTGCAGCTCACAGAGCTGAGGTGTTACATGGGCACCCCGTGGCATGTCCAAAATGGAGTAGTCTTCAAGAGCAAAGTCATGTTGAGCACATTTTGTACATCCACATGAAATATTCAAACATGAATAATTGTCTGGAGGACTTCTCAGTCCAAAAGGTACAGAAGATGGATCTGTGTGACAGCTTTCCTTGGGAGGAAACCCTCCCAAATTGCTCTCCAGTCCAGAATGTTGAAGTGCAATCCCATTCAAGACTCACAATGAAAACTTTCTAGCTTTTCCTGATCCAAATACCCAGGGTTTTTTGTTTGTCAGAACATTAGCAAATAAAGACTCTCTCCTCTTCTGAGCATGATGTCCTGTCTGTCTGCTACCATTTTTACATCTGCTTGCACAGATACACCCAGCAGCTAAGAATTCCCCATTTTATGTATCTTTTAAGCCTATTCTAGGTTGGGTAGCTGACTGTATTTCCAAAATTTGGGAATGTGAAGTAGATGTGTGTGGAAGTGACAAATGTGGGGAAGTTGATGGTTTGTGTTGATGGATTGGAAAGTGAATTACTTTGTTGTAACTTTAATGCTGCCCACCTCCCATTTTCCCACAACTGATATTTCTGAGAGTTGTTTCCTTCTGTTTGGAGCAATACTTGCTTAAACTGTACAATGCTTGCCTTACAGGGATTCTATAAAGGCGGGAAGTTTGTGTTCAGTTTTAAGGTAAGCAATCTGTCTCTGTTCTCTAAGACATCTAATGGGGCAATACTATATATCTGGTGTTTCTTGGTGCACACAGTAACTTGATATGGATAATACCATTCAGTGTATTTCAGCCTTCCCTGTGTAATTTGGGTAGCAACATATGGACGAATGGTGTCAACATAAGAGTCAATATAAGAACAATTCAGGGCAAAGGTTGGGAATTGTAGGTTGCAAAAATCAAATGTGTTTGGGTGCTTCACTGTTTTCTACCTAGAGCTGAGTTGGGTTTTACTCCTGAACTAGGAAGAGTCTCTTTAAGTTTTTGGGACTCCAAGCAGTAGATTGATTACTCACTGAGCAAATTTTGCAGAGTCCCAAGTATGCTTGGAAGTATGATTAAAGATGGGGAGGAGGAGTCAACAATGTTTGTCCTAGATATTTTGCCTATTAGAGGGTGTTAATGAAATAAATGTTGAAAAGAGTAATAATAAGGAATAGTACTGAACTATTATGGAAGAAAGCAACTGTTAATGGTTACTGTCTGAGGCTCATTGGAACAGCTATGTATGGATTTTCAGAAATTTGAAATGAACTGTGTTTTAAAATTAATTGTAAGTTAACTAGATATCAAAGAAATGGACATTCTGTGTTTGAAATAAATATTATATAGCTATATGTAACACTTAAGTCTTGTGGATTATTTGATAGTGGTTTGCTACAATTAAAATATTGCGCTTCAAGTGACATGTCCCCAAAATGGCCTGAGGTGCAGATGCATCTTGGTGACAACCACCTGTATGATTTCACAACTTTCTGTACAAATTATGAGATTAGAAATCAGATTGTATTATTATAATGTTTTTCTTAAAAAATACCTGAAGAAATTGCTTCCTTGATATATTGCATGGCTGAAATATAGGCTGGCTGGCTTGCTAGTTATCCCATAGCCTTCTAATGATTTGGTTGCATACAGGTTAGTCTATCCTCAGTATATAGTTGCAAGAAAAAGTATGTGAACCCCTTGGGATAACGCGGAGTTTTGCATGAATTGGTCATAAAATGTGCTCTGAATGTCATCTAAGTCACAACAATAGAAAAACACAGTCTGCTGAAAATAATAATACACAAACATTACATGTTGCCATGGTTTAATTGAACATAACATGTAAACATTCACAGTGCAGGGAGGAAAAAGTATGTGAGCCCCTAGCCTAATGACATCTCCAAGAGCTAATTGGAGCCAGGAGTGAGCCAACCTTGACTCCAATCAGTGTGATNAATCAGTGTGATGATATTGGATGTGTTGCTGACAGCTGTCCTGCCCTTTAAAAACACACACCTGTTATGGGTTTACTGGTTTCAAGAAGCACTGTCTGATGTGAACCATGCCTCGCAGAAAAGAGCTCTCAGAAGACCTACGATCAAGAATTGTTGACTTGCATGAAGCTGGAAAGGGTTACAAAAGTATCTCCAAAAGCCTTGATGTTCATGTGTCCACGGTAAGACAGACTGTCTACAAATGGAGAAAGTTTAACACTGTTGCTACTCTCCCTAGGCGTGGTCGTCCTGTAAAAATGACTGCAAGAGCACAGCGCAGAATGCTTCTTGAGGTAAAGAAGAATCCTAGAGTGTCAGCTAAAGACCTACAGAAATCTTTGGCACATGCTAACATTTTTGTTGACACATCTACAATAAGGAAAACATTAAACAAGAATGGAGTACATGGGAGGACACCACGGAGGAAGCCATTGCTGTCCCAAAAAAATATTGCGGCACGTTTGAAGTTTGCAAAAGAGCATCTGGATGTTCCACAGCACTACTGGCAAAATATACTGTGGACAGATGAAACCAAAATTGAGTTGTTTGGGAAAAACACACAACACTATGTGTGGAGAAAAAAAGGCACAACACACCAACATCAAAACCTCATCCCCACTGTAAAACATGGCGGAGGGAACATCATGGTTTGGGGCTGCTTTGCTGCCTCAGGGCCTGGATGGATTGTTGTCATTGATGGGAAAATGAATTCCAGAGTTTATCAAGACATTTTGCAGGAAAACGTACGACCATCTGTCCGCCAACTGAAGCTCCGCAGAGGATGGGTGATGCAACAGGACAATGACCCAAAGCATACAAGTAATTCAACAAAACAATGGCTTCAACAGCACAGAATACGCCTTCTGGAGTCGCCTAGTCAGAGTCCTGACCTCAACCCGATTGAAATGTTGTGGCATGACCTTAAGAGAGCGATTCACACCAGACATCCCAAGAATATTGCTACACTGAAACAGTTTTGTGAAGAGGAGTGGTCCAAAATTACTCCAGATCGTTGTGCAGGTCTGATCTGCAACTACAGGAAACGTTTGGTTGAGGTTATTGCTGCCAAA